GTTATTTATTTATGTAGACGAGTGTTCGGAGGCAGAACGGGTAATGTGCTTCCTCGCGCCTTTCCGCTGTATTTATCTTCGTCTTCGGAAAGGCGTTACTCCTTGGAAACTTCGAGGGTGGAGCTAATTCCCTTCTCCAACGTCGCCTCGATTTTTTTAGCAGAGGAAAAATTGTGAATTTCTAATTCGGAATCTTTTTCCGAGCCGCGCTGACCGTGCGGCCGAAGAAGCCTTAACGAGACATGGCTGGCAGCGTTTATGGTAGGGTAGCCTATTCAGCTACGCACGTGTAAAAAGTGTAAAATATTTTCGCCGACTTACAGACTTTAGGGTAGGCTTAATTGCCTATACCTAAACATCTGTAAGTGGTCAATTATTTCCTACCAACGCTGCGAGCCACGTACCGCTACAATGCGAATCCAATGAAAAATGTTTAGACCATCATGAAGTATAAACTTCGATGAAAAAGTATTTTATCGGTAAAAGTTCTTGTACTTTGTGAGGACAAAATATGAACGTCGTTACCTGTCTGAAACATCAGAAAGTTGGTTAAGAGTATATCAAGACGTTGTGAAGCTAAATCCTCAATGGGAGAAGATTGGACCCATTATTGAGTAAATGATTATTAGTTTTTCAGACGTCCCTTCCATCTATGCGAAACTTTTTAAACGGTTAATTATTTTTCACCGAAACATCGTGCCCGCCATATTGCATTACAACCCATATCGCTATTTCCATTGTTACTCGTGTATTTAATAACGAAAATATGTGGTTCATCGTTTGTTGTAACATTGCAACATAATATTTTCCCGAAGCCAGGAAATGCTTCCAGCCAATTAGCATGCACGAGTATGGGTTATATGGAAAATACTGAATTAAATAACAAATCTCTCATCACGGAAAGGAATGCGAACATTAATATAAACATTTGGTTAGAGAATTTGTTATTCATTTTCATTTGATGATTTTTTTTAAAAGCGATTGAAATATAGGTGCTCTTTAAACAGAGTTTTACAATTTATATAGGAAGTGATATAAACAACGAATATTTCCGAAAATAAGTATATTTATTGATTAAAACGGGACACCCTGTATACAGGAAGAAAGCTAAGCTAGAACAAGGAATGCGGAATGCTACGGGGAACCGAAAATTTTCTAGATTTCCTTCTGCCAGTTGTAGCAGCGACTCAAATCATTTTGACGACTGGTAGCAGTTTGATGTCAGGCGCAAAATAGACGGCGGAACGTGTAATATTATTGCTACGGAGCAAATCACGCTGCCATGTTAGGCGACGAAACGACGTATCGTTATTCCACACCTAATGCACCAAGCATACGATGCATCTGACGCAATGCAGTCGTATGCACCACGTGCAAGTACGTGCACCACATTGTTTGCTGACTTTCTCCTTTTGCACTGTTTGCGACAGTGTTTTACCTTATCCACGTCAGAATTTATGGCTTACTTATTTCCACTCCCTACTCTCCGCTATTACCCCATCTATTGTTTACAGTCATTTTCAGACTTTCTACCTGAATAAATAATAACGGTAACAATTATGTTGCCGCTTAAACTGTAAACAGAGCAAAGTGTAAATTACTAATTCTGAATTGTTTAAAGAGACAATTTAATTTTTTTTTTAATTAGTGAGAGTGTAATATTCACGTTAGAAATTGTAAAAACGATTTAGTTAAGAACATTTTATTATTTAAGCGCATTTGAGTATAATTAGTAAAATATAGTTACTCTAGAAAATGGTTTTTCCTAACATATTTTATAGAAAGTACCACACACCATATATTATTGTTTCATACATATTTTTTCGTATTGTATGCGCACTACGTAATTTTGCATTTTCGAATTTTCAAAAAACAAAAATGCGCGGCATTTCTTTGCTTTGTAATTATTTATTTTTACTTTTTAAACGAAAATCAGAAAAAAACAAAGATCTATGGCAGTCAACGTGTTAACCCCTTACTCTACGATTCATCTATCAACTGTGATCGATACAACTTTGTCGTTAACAATTCATTGGAAAAAAGAAAAAAATTCTAGGTATTTCCTATATCCTTAACTACTCTAAAGTATAACCTTTTGCTCTCGACAAATGACTCTCAGTCACCTATATATGTACATATATTTGAAATCATTGTCACGAACCGTTACGATCATGCAGCGATCGTTGTGCGTGTCCTGACGTAGCCTCTAATGTTTGGAAAATGACAAACGATCGTTGCCATAGCGTTCTGTCGATCGCAGAATCGCTGCGATCCGCGCAGTTGACAGAACGCCGTGGCAATGATCTTACGTCATTTGCCAAACCGCAGAGCCAACGTCACAACAGTCACACCGTATCGCGACAAGGACGACAAATATATATATATATATATATATATATA